CCCATGTCGTGTTTACTTACAATGACCAGCAGCCCAGTCTAACAGTGATTAACGAATCTACAGGTGCCAGCGATTATCCCATAATCACCGCCAAGACAAATCTCCACCCTATGGCAATGTATAATTTCAATTTTCTGAGTGTGCCCGAGTGGAAGTCAGAGGGGTTCGGAGGTCGTTAGTAGATCAAGTTAGATCGTGTGGACTCAAGTGGCGTCCAGCTGGTTTGGGAATGTCGCCAGGGTGTACAAGAAAGCATGTTTGGTTACAGACCCCAGGAACCAAAATTGAGTAACGGTCAATAATACTTCACCTCCAATAAATCGCTAATACCAGGATTGTAACAATCTGTGTATTGATACATGTTATTTTTGTCACATATGCTTGTGGAAGTGGTCAAGTGCAATCGTACAATTTGAAGTGAACCCTTATGAGGTTATTCCACATCTATGTTCATGCACCCCTTTGCAAAATCGTGCATACCTTAAAATATTCGCATATCTGCAATCGCCATCTTAACCCTTACGTTCACTGTCATACTCTGCCAGGCTAAAAGTTTGTTCAACGCTGTCTTAAAGGCCACTTATCTGCTGAACTGTGTCCGAGCAGATACCAAACTGGGTTAAGCGGTCGGTAAGAACAACTTGCATGTACAGTCCGTTTGAGTCAGAAACGGACCGATGAATTGCAAATTTTATCATTGTACAAAATTGCCACATAAATATAAATAGTACACATGTTTATCATTTACTAATACCCAACAGCTTTCTTATATTTGAAAATTTTCCGGACTCCACCAAAAAAGTTCTTTAAGAAACTATCATTAAAATTTTGACACAGTTCACTATTTGTTACGAGGGAGGAGTGCAGAGAAAGGGACAGCCAGGTGTTAGAGAAGCACGTGCGCAAGTACCCACCAAGTTATTGATTCATTAGCCTGTGCTTTGCCGTCTCCATCCTTTCTCGCACACCTGGCTGTCCCTTTCTCTGCACTCCTCCCTCGTAACAAATAGTGAACTGTGTCAAAATTTTAATGATAGTTTCTTAAAGAACTTTTTTGGTGGAGTCCGGAAAATTTTCAAATATAAGAAAGCTGTTGGGTATTAGTAAATGATAAACATGTGTACCATTTATATTTATGTGGCAATGTTGTACAATGATAAAATTTGCAATTCATCGGTCCGTTTCTGACTCAAACGGACTTTTTTTTGGTACGTGTATATGTTGTTTGTGTTTCTTCTAACAATGATGGATCAAACATATGTTTTTTCACAAAAAAGTGAGTGAATATGTTTTTACACCACGTGTTAGCAATATTCCACCAATATAACCACGTGCAGGGCTTGAGAAATGAGCTGCAGCCATTGTAGGAGTAGAACCCGAATCTTCAGCGTTACGAGCGAACACTTAAACCACATTTGTCTTTGTAGAAAAAAAACAAAACTATAGAAAGGATGTTTCTCAAAAGGATTATGTCTGTTGATACCATACATAGTGTCATACCCTCCCAATGAAAAAATTCGTTTAATTCTCCAAACGAGCACCCTTGCATTGTCGAGCAAACCATGACAAGTTATTGAAAATTCATATAGACAACGACACTGCTCAAAATAGGTATTTATCACCAAGTTTCAAACTGAGCTTCTCGCTCTGTAGTTGACTGTAACTTACAGAAGCTACTGACCCCTTAACTAAACAGCAAATTTCATTTTGTCAGACAAATTACCACCAATGAACATGTTGATGGAATCTTTTCTAGGTTTCACTGAACAAAGAGCACAAAGGCAGTTAATCTATCACAGTCGTTTCTTCGTTTCTATCCGAATTAATAAAAGACTACGTACGGGGTCAGGTTTAGGGTGGTGCCTCAAATATGAGCGGCCACTTGAATGGTGTTCTAGCCATCATACGACGTCAGTATCAGGAGCATTTCTACGTCCATTGTAAGTCTCACTGCTTCAATTCAGCCCTGTTTCATTGCTCTTCTTCAAATTCGTCCTCGTCACGATATGGCTGAAATATTGCCGATGTGACGTTAAATATTAACTCACTCACTCACTCAAATTCGTCAAATGAATTAAGTCAGCTGTTCAAAATATATCCTTTGCATTTTCATATTCAGCAAAGAGCCTTTTTCTAAAGAACTGGAATCCAGTAAACATGTCAAAGAAGCAATGGGGCGTGCAGATTCCTTATCCACTTTCAAAGCATTCGGCGAAAGCCTGACTGCCCTAGAACAGGACGGTAAGAGCCTTTACCCGTTACTTTCCATGTTAAAATCTGCTACATTCGAGCCTCTAGTTTAAACTCGGTTGTCATTAGTAACTTAAGGGGGTGATAGGGGTAGTCTAGTGGTTAAAGTGTTCGCTAGTCACGTCGAAGACCCGGGTTCGAATCCCCACTTTGATACAATGTTCTAAGCCCATTTCTGGTGTCCCCCGCCGTTATATTGCTGGAATATTGTCCCCACTCACTCATTCAATAGCAGCTGGAAACAAATCCGTGATATTTGCATGGAATAAAGAAACCGCAGATTTGTCAAGTAAATATGACATACTATGCCATGGTATATAGGGCGACCAACTAACCCCTGGATCCATACCCGATAAGTCAATAGCTGTGTTATCGCTTTCTTGATCATCTGAATTTGAACAGAGACTGAACAGTCCGTGGTCGATATTTCGTGTCTTGTTCGTTACACAAGCACAGATAAAACAGGGAGGAGAATACTTCAACAGTTCATAGAACTGAAACAAAACCAGCTGAACAACAAGTTGACAGATAAAACAGGGAGGAGAATACTTCAACAGTTCTTAGAACTGAAACAAAACCAGCTGAACAACAAGTTGACAGATAAAACAGGGAGGAGAATACTTCAACAGTTCTTAGAACTGAAACAAAACCAGACAACAGTTCTTAGAACTGAAACAAAACCAGCTGAACAACAAGGACAGATAAAACAGGGAGGAACCAAAGTTCTTAGACTGAAACAAAACCAGCTGAACAACAAGTTGACAGATAAAACAGGGAGACGTTCGCTGCAACACCACCTGATACAGAGGGAGGAGAATTCATGACGCTGAACAACAGCATGTTGAAACCAAAGACTGAGTAACGTTGACTCGCTGCAGATAAGAGGTCACGCTTTGTTTGGTACTGGACTTCGATAAGGACCTTTTCCCAGATGTTCATGTTGTGACCAGAACGAAGTGCGTGTATCATGTGCTACTGCTGAGTTGACCATTCAGTGCCACAGGACTTGTGAAAACATATCTCAGGTCAACAATGGTAACGGAACTGCTAAAGATGCACTAGCACTTCTTCGTACCCACAGTGAGTTGTATATCGATTTTGCACTAAATTCTCAATAATGTACAAGTTTTAAGCCCGTTTTCTTCGGCTTGTAATTTTTCATAAAATGTACCTGGTATCATTCTTTGGTATATCGTGTTTATAAACCGCCCTTGTTTGAATACACAATGCCCTTTAGTAAGCATTAAAAGGTAACATTATCTTATATTTGCGATTACACTTTCTCAGTAAACAGTCCCATTCGGGATTCGAACCCACACCCTCAGAGTCAGGCACCTAATCGCCAGCACACAAAGTCAGGTATTCGACTTTCAATTTCGTGGCAGCCGCGGTGGCTGAGCGGGTTAGGTGGCTGACTCTGTGTGCTGGCATTAGGTGCCTGACCCTGGGACTGTGGGTTCGAATCGTACAAACGTACTAGAATCTGTGCTAGAAGTACTTGAATTATCTACTAGAGAAAGTGTAATCCCAAATATAACATATGTTGCTCTTGTTTGGTTCGCCATCTTCGTATTTTTTATTATTTGCTATTGATAGATAGGGCTGCAACGATTCAGTTCGATTCATCGAAAATCGAATCTGACACCTTAGTTTCGATTTTCAGTAACCATTAACGCTATTTCGATTCGATATTTGCAAATCTATTCAAATTATTACCAGACACTTGACTTTTGAAAGTTTTACTTTATTAACGTTTATGGTCCTTGACATAGGGACAAAACAAATTAAAAGTGCTGTTCTGTGTTTAAACATCATATTTTATTTGTTTGAAAAAGGTTACATCATTTACATTCCTGATTTCCTATTCAAATATTGGAATAAACTTTCAGTGCGTTTTGTTTAATAAACTATGATTAATAAATCTGATGTTTTTACTTAAATAAAGAATCGAATCGAAATGATCGAACAGATGGTCCAATATCGAAAATCGAATAGAATCGGAGTCTGGGTGAATCGTTGCAGCCCTATATAGCTAAAATCTTCTCTCTCGTTTTTCATTTGAATTTCTGTTCTGTTTTGTTCTCGTTGACCTGGTGAAATGTTTTAAAAGTATGTTATATTGTATAAAGATATGGTATATCTCTAATCATCTCGTGATTTGGATTGGTTGACTTTGACCTGCTTGTGTTTGGCTCGTTTCTTCACGGTGCAGCTTTTAATCGGTGCATGTGTTTCGGTGCATATCATTGATTGTATTAATTATCATATCTTAAGTGCAAATAATTGCAATGATCCATGAAACGTTTTGTTAGCAACGTAGTTGAATATATTAATCTTTCCAGCAGTGATGAGCTTACAGTTTAATGTTCCCTCGTAGCTACCCAGACTCTTGTGTTGGAATGACTTCTAGGTGATATGGTCAAAACTACAGCCACCTCACTTATTACCATGTAAAGTCGTTTCCGCGTCAAAGAAACGTAGATAGTGGTATTTTGTTGCTAAACATCTTGATCAAATAACATTTTTTTCAATTACAATGTAACCGCATGTTGCATAAAAAGACTTAAAGATTGACATTTAAAGATTAACTAATAAACATCTCAGGTACTATACTCGTCAAGATCGTCTATTTTACACTGATTCGGGTAGACAGACACGCGTGACGCCATGATTGTTGTGACGTCACGGTTGTAATCTGTGACGTCACAATCACGACTATTACTGGAACTCGAATGTGTGTCAAGCAGGCCGAAATATGCCGCCGAACGAAGCTAGTGTGAACAAAAGGAGTGGAATGCACATGAACTTTGTTCATAATGACCAAATTTGGTAGGTAAATCATATTTGTAAATTGTCTTTGTAATGGGGTGAGTGAGTATCGTTTGATATTTTCAGCAATATCCCAGTAATCATGGCGGGGACACCAGAGATGGGCTTCACCCATTGTACCAAGTGGGGAATCGAACTGGGGCTTTCGGCGTGACGAACGAACGTTTCAGTCACTTGGCTAGCCCACAGCCGTAAGTAAAAGATTCTGTTCAACCTATAAATACCAGCAACATATGCATTATTTGCGCTAATCCTTTAGATTCTCTATTCTATTATTCTGCAGGAAGGATCATGTTCGCCATGAAACCAGCTCCCAGCTCAGGAAATGGCCAGAGAGAGATGGGGGTACCTCGTACAGGAGTACGACACGGTAGGGAAGCTGAGTATACTCGACCAGACATTTTGCAGATTCATTTAACGTCTGGCGTACAATAATAAGATGTTGTCATGGTAGGTGTGACCAGTTCATAACTTGGCTTTGTCACGGGCAAACTAACTGTGCTCGTAACATCATACAAAGGGTGTATAATTTTGTAACACATTTTCTTAGCAGGTTCCAGGTTCCGTTTGTTTCCAAAAGGAAAAGGAAAAAGGTGATTTGAAGTCACTACATAACATATCGCTCAGCTGTTCGGTATTATGGACAATGGTTTGGTTTGCCTGGAAACAACCTCGTATAGAGTGACAATTTGTACCCTGTGGGGGGAGCTGTGTCAAAATATGGTGTTCATTTATTCCGCCGTAACGGCCGGCATAGGTTGCGGGGTGAATTCTAACGCGAAATTCCTTCTGGTTAGGTCCTGACAACACCATGCTGAAGGTAACGCGGGGCTCGGGTGCTCAGGCTCCGTGACTCGGCAGATAATGGCAACACAAGTGACGTTCACCATTGCTCATGATTTCAGTTACCTGTTTGCATACGATCTTAATATTGTCGACTGTGGCAGAAACAATATTCAGTCCACTCAGTCAAGCTTGATTCCATGAATTTGACATACAAAAAATACATAAACAGTAAAGTTCATCTGACTGTACATCTTCCACCATCAAGTGCACTTTATCTCCATACTGTTATGACATTTAGACATCTTGTTGGAAGAAAAACGTTTCCGTTTGTAAGACCTCTGCTGATACAGCATAAAACAGAACCCGCTCGGTTTTATACATTCTCTTCCGTATACTTCACAGATCAGTTAGAACTGAAATTTGACAGGGACTGGTTACAGATCAGGAACATACGTTGGTCTTGAGAAGACATTTTACGGCCGCTTCGCTATTCAGTCACTAGGACACACATTCACAAAAGGTGTTTTTTTCAGTAGGAAGATATCCAGCTGTCATTAGTTTCTTAATCGAAACTTCCTAGTGAATCTGGATACAATCGCACCTCCATTTCTGTCCTTTAGTCATTTTGAACCGAGAAAACCAACAATTACAGGATGTGTGGATCCAGAATTAAATCTGGTGTCTTGACCATTGACTGGGAGATACTGGCCTTGCGAAAAGTTATCTATAGATGATGTGCTTTTTTTTATTACAATGGTATTTCTCTCAGTCAGACTACCAGGGGCGGTGGGGTAGCCTAGTGTTTAAAGCGTTCGCTCGTCACGCCGACGACCCGGGTCGATTCCCCACATGGGCACAATGTGTGAAGCCCATTTCTGGTGTTCCCCGCCATGATATTGCTGGAATATTGCTAAAAGCGGCGTAAAACCAAACTGACTCACTCACTCAGTACTACCAGACTTACATATTGGACGGGGCGGTCGGGTAGCCCATTGGTTAAAGCGTTCACTCATCACAGTTCTCTATTCCCCACATGGGTAAGATGTGAAGCCTATTTCCTGTCTCCCCCGCTGCTGCGATAAAAGCGACGTAAAACTAGACTCACTCACTACAAATAGAATTTCTATACAAAAGTGTCCTTGTGTACATATCTATGAATGAATTTTCGGGAACTAACTCATTTTTCAAATATATTCTTTCCGAAGAAGCATTTGTGACAGGAAGAGAATAAACGTAACATCCTTTCCATGCATTCAAAATTTTGTAGTTTGTATTTAGTTCAACTGTCGAAATGCTCTATACTGTCATTTTGAGTATTCCAATAAATATACTTATAGTATGACATTAAGGCTCCTCTCATAAATGGTACCATGCTCCTGGCCCGATATTTGTTAATAATCCCCAAAAGACATCATGCAAATACAGTGATGAACCCCTGAGTGAACATGAAGTTTTTCTTCACCAATTACATGAAAAATAGCAAAAACAATAAGAAGTTGAAAGCACTATCAAAAACTACTGATATAATGTGACCTTCAATAAACCAGGTCAAACATTGTAACACTTATTCCTGCTTATAAATAGCTCCTAATGCCTAGTTGCACAAAATTTGCGTAGATAGATACTCATGCTATTGATCACTGGATTGTCAGGTCCAGACTCGGTTATTTACAGGCCACCGCGATATAGCTGGAATATTGCTGAGTGAAGCGTTAAACAACAACCAACCTATTCACTGCTGGATGAAGACAGGCAAATTTCAAACAGTCTCTCGGCTAATGTGGCGCCACATATTCTACATGTACTGTAGTGTGGAGAAACACCTAAGGCCTATGAACTCCCATGAGTCAATATAGGTCTGACTTCCTTAGATTTTTGCAAAGACGACTGTGTTGGGCATCATAACGATTCTGATACTACACCAACATTGTTATAAAAATATGGTTCAAACCATTTTCTTCCTACATGTAGATTCCTGGGCATTCTATCAGGCCCTAACACAGTTGTAATTTCCAAGATCCAGTAAATTCCCAGGGGAGGTAACTCCGATTATACTACAACATAAACTGCCTAAGATTTGTTTCCTTGGTCACGATCCCTGTATGAAAAAATATCATACATTTCACTCAGTATTATGTTCCCATTTATGGTGTCCCCTTCCATGATGTTGCTGGAATATTGCTAAAAGCAGCATAGAAACATACTCACTCACTCACTCAGTATTATGTTACCATTTATGGTGTCCCCTTCCATGATGTTGCTGGAATATTGCTAAAAGCAGCATAGAAACATACTCACTCACTCACTCAGTATTATGTTACCATTTATGGTGTCCCCTTCCATGATGTTGCTGGAATATTGCTAAAAGCAGCATAGAAACATACTCACTCACTCACTCAGTATTATGTTACCATTTATGGTGTCCCCTTCCATGATGTTGCTGGAATATTGCTAAAAGCAGCATAGAAACATACTCACTCACTCACTCAGTATTCTGTTACCATTTATGGTGTCCCCTTCCATGATGTTGCTGGAATATTGCTAAAAGCAGCATAGAAACATACTCACTCACTCACTCAGTATTATGTTACCATTTATGGTGTCCCCTTCCATGATGTTGCTGGAATATTGCTAAAAGCAGCATAGAAACATACTCACTCACTCACTCAGTATTATGTTACCATTTATGGTGTCCCCTTCCATGATGTTGCTGGAATATTGCTAAAAGCAGCATAGAAACATACTCACTCACTCACTCAGCATTCTGTTAACATAAAGTGGTTGTTTACATGTTTCTACAATATTGCCACCTGTTCACTCATGTTCTATCAGTATTGTCCCCACTAACATCACGTGGTTCAATCCACTCTGTTTACAGATGACCAGTGTCCTGGAGGGGAAGCCCCCTAAACCTGGCCACTCCATCTATGGCGCCCAACCACAGGCAAAACAAGGAGATATCCGGCTTCCACCAATCAAACCCTTCAAAACAACCAGAGATACTTCCTTCCCCTTGACAACAGCCCGTGAGATTGGCTGGAAGGCAGCTGGGCCAGTAAAAGACCCCCTGTGTAACAAGTGGGCACCTCGGGCCCGAGGTCAGTTTGGCATCCTGAAACTGCTGAAATGGCCGGCTGAGGCTGCTCCTTAAGTCTGGGAGGAGGACTCCTGACAACAGAGGCATCTTACCTTAGATGTTCATCTTTTGAAACTGTTTTCTGTCTAATATAAGATAACTGTGGCTCATGTTTTAACATTTATTACACTGATAATATGTACAAAACATTGTAAACATTGTATTTTCATGAACAATACTTGTGCATGATGAAGTTTGTTATTTACATCATCCTGGTTACCAGGAGCAATCTGTATCCAATACATCATGAAACATGGGGACTTGATGTCAATGATTGATAATATCTGTGAAAGGAAGAGTCCTCATCATCCATTACACAATAAATCCTTGTTGTTTAACAATTTCCATATGTTTTAATGACTCACTATTATCTTGTCATTTGTGACGACAAAAAGCTGTTGATAGAGAGTCACGCTTCACCGAGTCACATTCACTTCTGCAATACTGAGAACATGATAACCATATTGACTCAACATTTAATGAGTCCTATGTACATATCCCTGATGAGGAATGACTTGGTGATGTCAGCTGTTTCCGTCATCCTCAACTGTGTCGTCTTCGTCTGAGGAATCTCTGTCTTCATACACCACCTGTGGTCTGTTGGTATTTACAACCATGTCCGCCAGATCTTCATCCGAGTCATCACTGGGTGGCAGCATGTCATCAGGAATCGTTTCACTTTTGCCCTGGTTCGTTCCCTCCTGGAATGCAGGTGGCCTGAAACAAAACAGTCAACTGGAGGTTGGCTACTCGACTATAGGAGAACTAAAATTAGAGGCATGTTAAATTATTTGAACTTAAACAATTCTGACAACTTCCACATATCACATTAGCCCCTATCTATCTCACCACAGCTCTCACTATCTCATAAGAGCCCCTAAGCACCTCTCCACAGCTCTCACTATCTAATAATAGCCCCTAAGCACCACAGCTTTCACTATCTCATAATAGCCCCTAAGCACCTCACCACTGTTCTCCCTATCTAATAATAGCCCCTAAGCACCTCACCACAGCTCTCACTATCTCATAATAGCCCCTAAGCACCTCACCACTGTTCTCCCTATCTAATAATAGCCCCTAATCACCTCACCACAGCTTTCACTATCTCATAATAGCCCCTAAGCACCTCTCCACAGCTCTCACTATCTAATAATAGCCCCTAAGCACCACAGCTTTGATCACTATCTCATAATAGCCCCTAAGCACCTCACCACTGTTCTCCCTATCTAATAATAGCCCCTAATCACCTCACCACTGTTCTCCCTATCTAATAATAGCCCCTAATCACCTCACCACTGTTCTCCCTATCTAATAATAGCCCCTAATCACCTCACCACAGCTTTCACTATCTCATAATAGCCCCTAAGCACCTCACCACAGCTCTCACTATCTAATAATAACCCCAAAGCACCTCACCTCAGCTCTCACTATCTCATAATAGCCCCTAAGCACCTCACCACAGCTTTCACTATCTCATAATAGCCCCTAAGCACCTCACCACAGTTTTCCAAATCTCATAATAGCCCATAAGCACCTCACCACAGCTCTCACTATCTCATAATAGCCCCTATCTATCTCACTACAGCTCTCACTATCTCATAATAGCCCCTATCTATCTCACCACAGCTCTCCATATCTCATAATAGCCCCTAAACACCTCACAACAGCTCTCACTATCTAATAATAGCCCCTAAGCACCTCACCACAGCTTTCACTATCTCATAATAGCCCCTAAGCACCTCACCACAGTTTTCCAAATCTCATAATAGCCCATAAGCACCTCACCACAGCTCTCACTATCTCATAATAGCCCCTATCTATCTCACCACAGCTCTCACTATCTCATAATAGCCCCTATCTATCTCACCACAGCTCTCCATATCTCATAATAGCCCCCAAGCACCTCACAACAGTTCTCCCCATTCAGATTCATCGCTGGCCCTCCCTACCTCACCACAGCCCAGCTGCATCTCAAAGTAGCTACTTACCACCTTACCAAGTCTTAGACTATACAGCACAGCCCCTCCTAACTTCATGACAACCTCATCTCATATCACCAACCTTCCATCTCACCACAGCCAGACCCAATCTCATCAACGCTCCTCGCCATCTCACCACAGCCCAACCCTATCTCATCAACGCTCCTCGCCATCTCACCACAGCCCAACCCTATCTCATCAACGCTCCTCTCCATCTCACCACAGCCAGACCCTATCTCATCAACGCTCCTCGCCATCTCACCACAGCCCAACCATATCTCATCAACGCTCTCTCGCTCATCCACAGCCATCTCACCACAGCCTAACCCTATCTCATCAACGCCTCGCCATCTCACCACAGCCCAACCCTATCTCATCAACGCTCTCGCCATCTCACCACAGCCCAACCCTATCTGACCAACCCTCCTCACCACAACCCCTGCACAACCTCATCACAGCCCAACCCTATCTCACCACTCAACCCTCCTTACAACAACTCACCACAGCCCAACCCTATCTCACAACAACCCTCCCCACAATCTCACCACAACCCAACCCTATCTCACAAAACCTCCACATCTCTCAACAACCCTGCACATCTCATTCCAGCCAATCTCTTGTCTCATAACAGTCTCTACCCACTTCACCACAGGTGCTCTCATCTCACAACAACCCCTGCACATCTCACCACAGGTGCTCTCCGTCTCACAACAACCCCAGCACATCTCACCACAGGTGCTCTCTCCATCTCACAACAACCCCTGCACATCTCACCACAGGTGCTCTGCTCTCCATCTCACAACAACCCCTGCACATCTCACTCACCACTCCATCTCACAACAACCCTGGTCTCACCACAGGTGCTCTCCATCTCACAACAACCCCTGCACATCTCACCACAGGTGCTCTCCATCTCACAACAACCCCTGCACATCTCACCACAGGTGCTCTCCATCTCACAACAACCCCTGCACATCTCACCACAGGTGCTCTCCATCTCACAACAACCCCTGCACATCTCACCACAGCTGCTGCTCTCCATGCACATCACAACAACCCCTGCACATCTCACCACAGGTGCTCTCCATCTCACAACAACCCTGCACATCTCACCACACCCATCTCACAACAACCCCCTGCTCTCACCACGGCTGCTCACAACAACCCCTGCACATCTCACCACAGCTGCTCTCCATCTCACAACAACCCCTGCACATCTCACCATGGCACTCTCCATCTCACAACAACCCCTGCACATCTCACCACAGCTGCTCTCCATCTCACAACAACCCCTGCACATCTCACCACAGCTGCTCTCCATCTCACAACAACCACTGCACATCTCACCACAGGTGCTCTCCATTTCACAACAACCCCTGCACATCTCACCACAGCCCTTCATCCTTGATGTGCTTGATCTGGTCCTTGTACAGGATGCTGAGGATCTCTGCTCGCACCTTGTCTCCTTCAGCAATAGGCTCCACCAGCACAAAGTCTCCTGGATAATATTTATTGCATGACAGATAACTAGAATAATCATTCTCTTGTTATGTTCTACTAAGTGGAATGAAATCATCAAATACTAATCAGTACTTACTGTTAGAAGAACATCTTTAGTTTTTGCAAATTTGAATATCAATAATGAGCAAGTTGAAGCAATATTCCACCATTATCATGGCAGACATCACAAATAGACTTAACACATTGCACCCAACATTAATGGGAATCGAACATCTGTCATTGGCATGACAAGCAAATACTTTAACAACTATGCCACATAAAGAGAAAAAAATCATGCCTTACATGCAAGTTTTCTGAATATGCAGGCAACACTTGTCTTTTTTATTAACAAGGATATAACAACAAAATACAAAGTCATTAACTTATGATTATGATATAACTACAAAAAAAACCACCACAGATACTAGCATGAAATATTTCAATGGCAACAGGCCTTACAACAACTCTGTCTTATTACCAAAGTCCAATCTGTTATAAGCTCACATAAAATCATAAGAAATTACTGATAGATTCCTAGTCAGGAACTGAAACAAACTGATGAATGCAGGATCTGCTGATTATTTCTATGTTTGGAAACTGCTGATTATTTTTATGTTTGGAAACTGCTGATTATTTCTATGTTTCAATTTGTTTGGAAACAGGAAATGGGGCACAGTGTGCAAACAAAAATCTCCAACTGCTACATAACCCTGTTGATATTAACTGAACTCACCTCTCTTTATCCACACATTCTTTCTGAACCTGGTGGGCATACTGACAAGGTATCTGGTGCTTCCTGCTGTCTCTACTTCATGAAGGTTGTTGCCTCGACTGGCTGTAACCTGTGCATAGAAGAAGTAAACAACTTGTGATGACCATGGCTTCACCTCACGCCCGATGCAGATACTAGCCTGTACATGGTCAGCAATGGTGTACACATTGCCAGGTTTAAATGCTTTATTACTCAGCTGCACTTTGGGATGTAAAATGTTTGCAAGTGAATTTATGATATGATGATATGATGGAGATACATAAATAATGAACATAGATACATAGGTAAGTATATGACTTATATGAATAATATTAATAATATTGTAAATCGTGGAAAAGTATTGTACGTTTCGAGTGTGAAGTATCTGTTAGTATGTCAATATGGAACTACTATGTTGGAACCGTCCTGGCTACTTCTGTGGGGGCCCTTCAGGGTATGCAGAATAGTAGAAAATAGTAAGATTAAGGTTTTAACATAGTCACTGGTACAAGGATGGAGAACTGAGCCCTGCTGCACTCCTGAACATGTGTTCCCCGATTTATGGCCCCACCACATCAGTGGAATGATTGACAATGTCTGTAGTGAACTTGTGTGATGATGTGTGGAGTGATGATGTCTGTAGTGAACCTTAAAGATGTGTGAATTTTGAACATTTGAACAATTTATGAATATTTGATCACATATCAACACCTGGATGTATGATAACCACACTACATATTATTACTATTATTACTACATATTGATACAAATATAATAAAACATACACAATATATTTTAGTTTGTATGTTCCTATTTAAATTTGATCTATGGCCCTTTTGACTTTTCTTTGGCCCTTTTGACTACAACCCTTGGGGCCGACATATTTGTTATTGTGGATGTATTTTGTGTACATCTACGAATGGAAGTGGATAAACAGCACATCGCAGCCTCCTGTGAATGACTGAGCTTAAGCAACAGCTAAACTGAAACTGGTTTTGAGAACATTAGATACAGTCGTCTATATACTGCCAGGTTAGGATACATTTGTCGTGCATATTAACCATAGTACATAATCCAACAACAACCCTGACACAACGGTCCTACTGCAGGTTGGGGAAACCTACCGATCGGCCTATGATACGGGATATTAAAGGCCATTCTGCCTATTTTGCTATAGGCTGAAAATTAATGACATAGATATTCAGTTTTAGTTTTCAAAAGGAAAATCTATGCAAAATTGTGTTCTTAATGAAACATCTTTTCCTGAACATGATATATATTTCCATTTAGTCAAAAAAAAATGTTTTCAAGCTGAGGAGGTCCATTAACATTCATCTCTATGATCATATAAAACCATTTCGTGCGGAAATTAATAGTTTGAGAAATACTTAGAAAAATGTTCAAATATATTGGCCTATTATAGGCCGATCGGTAGGTTTCTCCCCAACCTGTACTGTACAGCAATAATAGCCAATAACATTATATTATTGGCTATTATTGCTAGTACAGTACAGGTTGGGGAAATTTTCCTACTGCCTATGTCAGTATGTCACACATGTGCGCCCGAATTTGTCACCTACCCTGACGATCTCTTGGTCTCCTTCGGGAAGAACATAATCATTAAGAACCTCTTTTACGACATGCTTTCTCTTTGTAGCCTTGGACATTTCACACAAATCAGTATGTTAACGTGTGTTATGATGAAACCTCAAGTTAAACTGAAAGCACGTTGAAGCAGACTAAAACATTGCTCAACACATGGACAAGGGAAGTAATCCAACAACTTCCTGTCCAAAACGTGTATACCACTAAATATTAATTTATACATCAACTACGGACATGTTGATGTATTAAATGCGTAATTTTCATTAGTAAATACGGAATTATCACTGCTATGATATTGTTAATGTCTTACCGTGTCTCACAGATGAACAATACCGTATATGAACAGTCATCATGGCTTGTTAAAGTTGTCTGTCGGAGAGTTGACATTTCGTCCATTATATGTGATAACGTTCGCATCTGTTAAATTATTTATTTCATTTACCAATTACTCCCATCAAGACCAACGTCAGGCGGAGACGTTCCGTAGACTGGTGTGATTAGGGACCCTTCATAATTTATGGCTAGTGGGGTGATGCTGATTTTAAATTTATTTTATGATATTTTTTTGGTTTTAGTTTTTTGTTTTGTTTTGTTTTGTTGGTTTTTTGTTGTTTTTTTGGTGTGTTTTTTTTTGGTGGTGGTGGTGGGGGTTGTTCTGGGGAGGTAGTTGGGGTCAGCAATAAAAATTTTGGGAAGGGGGGATCATTGATCTTTTTTCATGATGTGCAAGGGGGGTCACTTACTTTGTACGTAAAGTTAAGGGGGGATAATTTCACATTGTACATGCTTCTGCATACAAATCACACACACACACACACACACACACACACCTTGTCATAAATTATGAACGGTCCCTTACATAGTATGCACATTATAAGTAACATAACACATCACATCTATGTTTCATAAAACAATTTAATAGAAAATGATGTTACTTGTTGTAAGGAATATCGTCTTTTCATTCACAGACAATAGGCATCGGGCAAAGAGTAATTCATTTGGTGGATTATCAAAATCTCGATTAAAGTTTTAATATGGCATGACATTAAAGTATAAGGAGTGAGTTACTGAGTCACGGAGGTAGGTTTAAAGGCGCTAAGAACAGTGCTCCAGTAATATCAGAGTAAGTAAGCGTAAAGATGCAGGTCTTAACACGTGAAAACAAGGGTCATCGGTATGGGGCTGACAAACCAAAAACCATAATCAGAGTAAATATCGGGTTTGAACACGCCACCATAGGTTACTTACTCGCCTAAGGGAGACAACTCTGCGCATCGTATTGCCGGAACACATCTGCTGGATACAGATGTCCTTGTGTACACTTAAAGCACTGTATGTTTGAATTGGCGATAAAGGTATGACAGCCGTTACAGCTTACGCATCTCAAGGCGGTGGGGTAGCCTAGTGGTTAAGGCGTTCGCTCGTCACGCCGAAGACCAGGGGTTCGATTCCCCACATGGGTACAAAGCCCATTTCTGGTGCCCCCCCCCCCCCCCCCTCCTAAAACGGCGTAAAACTAAATTCACTCACTCCATATCTCAATTCGCGAATACCCGATGTCATCAGTATTTGACAGCGATGCACATGAAACACATCCCGTAACAGATGTTTCTTTTGATTAGGAACTGTATTAATTTGGTAGCTTTTAATTACATGCTGTCCCGGAATTAAATTCCAAGTTAAAAGAAACTTTTTGGATTTTCATACTGCTATTTCAGACAACAAAATTTGTTTGACATTAGGACAAAAAATAAATATGTTGATTTACGTACAAATTTCAGTTTGGATTTCGCTTGTTGAATACAACTGGGTTCACTTTGAGTAGCACGCCACCTGAACACCTTGGATCTCGTATCGTTTGAGATACACGAGGACCAACGCGGCCTCAGGTCAGTGACCTGTACTGAAGAATGTAGTGTCACAGACAACAAGGTTGTATCCGCATGTAGACCGCCTCCATGGTGTAGTGGTTAGAGCGTCCACCCGGAGAGCGGAAGGTCGCGGGTTCGATCCACGGCCGCGTCATACCAAAAGACGTTAAAATATGGTACTTGTTGGTCCCTGCCTGGCGCTCGGCATTAATGGGTACAACAAAGACTGGTCGGTTCGGAGTCAGTATAATGTGTCTGTGTGGGGTATTCATGCTTAACTGCGGCATGGTATCTCATGCAGTGAGCTAGCACTATAAAATCAGCTAAGTTTGGGTTAGTACAAGCAGCCACACATACACACGCATGAACGTCGTCATATGAGCGAAATATTCTTGACAACGCCGTTAAACCCCATTTCCAACTCATCTCACCTGTATCCGCATGGCCTATTTACTTATATGATATTCTTATAGATTAGATATTCTGCAAAAGGTCATGACATTTATACAGTGAACACCTATTAATCAGGACCTTTGCATTCCCTATGAAATTTTATTCTGATTAACGTTTCAAGACCCCAGTGGCTCTGTACTCCTACACACAGGGACGTGTCACGCTTAGAAACAGCATTAGAAGGACATATATAGGTATATAGACCCTACCCTAGTACTATTTATATACATCTATATCTACATCTCAACATGTGCATGGGATGCCTTGGCGACACTTTGCCGTCCCAAAGTCCCTCTCATGATATATCCTAGGTATATATTTATATAAACACTATTTATATAGTACTAGGGTAGGGTCTATATACCTATATGTCAATAGTACTAGGGTAGGGTCTATATACCTACTAGTATATGTCTTTCTAACGCTGTTTCTAAGCGTGACACGCCCCTGTGCTCCTACACAGACCAACTTGGTTGTGACAGCGGAAATTGTCACTGCAGCTGTTACTGATCCATGGTAAGCATGTACTGGACATCCTTCCTGTATTGTAGGCACGTCATGATGTCACACCATTCTTTAAGATTCTCTGAAAATGTCCCAATTGGTCGTTTTGTAGTTTAGCCTCACGCATCTTACATCTGTGTGCAGAGTAAGCACTGCTATTGCATGAAATCTGCGTGCCGGACATGGATGGATACATCATCACACTTCCGCCGTTGTGTCTGTATCAGTAATGATAATGGACGTGTCACAGGGCAGTACTACTGTTTAAGGATAACGACAAGGAGCGCCAAGAAACAAATTATACCATACCTGTTTTATAAATAAATAAAAATATCAACACAGATTTATAAAGGCGATGACTTTATCTTTCTGCTAAATTTAATACCTGTCCTCAGTCGTTCGATATTACTATTGTTGAATATTTTCGATATCAAAGAAAACTACTCATTCAAAGATTTCATCTCCCTGGATGGAATGCGACGGGACTCGAACTTGTGTTTAAACTCATTCAGTGGGTGAGAAAAAACGTTTATATAGAAGGTTAGAGTAGCCTATCGTTAGCTGCCGAGAGGTGGCGCGCTTACTATAAATTTACAAACCGGTTATGTCCCTTTCTATGTTATCTTCTACCCGCAAGGTGCGATAATTATACGTTGTTCATACAGGTCCAAAACTTCGAAAGCGAAACTACTTCCCGCCAATAACCCAAGCAAAAGGTAAGATATGATAGTACGACAAGAAACAATGAGCCAGTGCAAGGAACATGTATTTTTCAGAAAGTCCGTTTAAGTTAGTGCTATAGGACACATGATCTCCTCTTTCTTCCAACGATTTGACAAAGTAATATGGTATGATCGCAGGCCCGTCATTTTCGCAGTAGTCCGGAAGCCAGTCAAATTGTATCGTTGTTTTCAACATCACCACCCACTGATGATCTAACAGCCTAACAATTCTCGAGTCCAGTGAATATTTCCTTGTTTTCCTCCACTGTTGCGCATTTCGCTCACCCGAAACGTTTTCAGAAGCTGATCACTCCCTCATACCTGGTAGATGTCTGTGGTTGAAAGTGGGGAAAGCCCACTTTCAACCACAGGAACCCGATATCGCTGTGTATGTTAAACACAGACCATAGATCATAGACATCATATACATCATATATATGTGACGTGCGTGTAGATCTATGGTGTTTAGCGAAAACGGGTTCCTGTATACATCATATACATCATATATATGTGACGTGCGTGTAGATCTATGGTCTATGTTTAGCGATAACGGGTTCCTGTGCTTTCAACGCGCCTCGTTCAACGATATCGAAAGTTGAAAACATTGTGCGAAGTATTTAATGGAATACGATATCTATGCATATTTTGTTAAATCTTCTGTGAATTACAAAATTGGTTCAAAATAATTCAGGCAGGAATTTTTGTGAACTCCCGGGAGTCCTACTCCAGGTTGTCCTGATCAAAGAGCTCTATTTGACTCTATACAGTTTGACGAAGAATACAGGATTGAGGATATATGCACTTTTCTATCTGTTATATTGACTGGGACAGAAATGACCGCTAGCCTATTAGTCCAAGGCAACTTAAAGTGTAGTTATCTTTCACAAAATGTAGTTATTGTTTAGAAGCTGTAGAATCCATATTCCGGTCAATTGACATTCCATGTTATACATTAATGCATGCCAAGTTTTAGTATACACCGAGCCTCGCTGTCGTCTCCCACATGGCCGCAACCAGAGCGAGCCATTATGTAACATGTCTGGAAGCATTAAACAAGATTGCACGACACTCATCGTTTGTACCAATCATACATGGTGTCAGAAGAGGGATCATATTCCCAGGATTCATCAGGCGACATTTCGCAACGGATGAAGATTAGGACATTCTGTGAGTGTGACTGAAATTTCGAAAGCCGGTCAGCTAGCCGAAGTTACAATGGCGGACGGATTCAACCGGCCAAAACCGCTTTCATTTGAAGGTGACATTGCCGAGAACTGGAGACAGTTTGAACAGGAGTTTGATATTTCCTGGAAGCTGCGCATGGTGATAAGGATGACAAAAAGCAGAGGCATATATCTTCTTGAACATTGCAGGAAAGGAAGCAATCGAAAGGGAAAAGTCTTTTCGTCACGGGTTGGCAGAATCAAGGGCAAGCCTACAAGTCCTCAAAGATAAGTTCAGCGAACTGTGTAAGCCACAGACAAACATTACGTTGGGCGTTTTCGATTTTTCACCAAATCAGAGCAGAGGTGAACATTTCAAACTTTCTATACAGATTTAGTGAATAAGTCAAATTCATGCAATTTTGGCTCTCAAAGATGAAATGACCAGGGACAGAATAGTGTGTGTGTGTAGATTCGGACAATCTAAAGAAATCTTTGCTGAAAGAAACTGCTTTAACTTTAGCTAAAGCTGTTACCATATGCACTCTCAACGAAATCACGGAAAAGGGCCTACAAGAACTCACAAACAAATCAACAGCAGAGGTACATGCTATACACACGGTGCTAGAAATGAAAGAAGAAAATAACATAAATCTCCGCCTACATGCAGGAACTGCACATACTCACATCCAGTTGGATCGCTGCCCAGCACGTGGCAAGAAGTGTCACAACTGTAACAAAATGAACCACTTTGCAAGTGTTTGTAAAGCTCCGCACAGTGATAATGAGAATGGAAACCCAAGAAGCAGAGACAGGAGACATGAAAAGCAAACAAAAGAAAGGCAAAGCGAACAGTTCATGACATTGATGAAGAATATTATGAAGACTCTGATAGTGATACCGACAGCTTTCTATTCATAGATTCCCTAGAGGTGGATGGAATTGAGGAGTCGCCACTGGAAGCATATGCCACCCTACTTGCAAAACAATGAGGAAATAAGGCTTAAAGTTGACACAGGTGCCAAATGTAATGTCTTACCACTATCCTGGTTCAAGAAGGTGAGAGACAAAGAGAAATCAGCAAACAACACATAGTAACATTGGTCTGCTATGGAGGGAGTTCCTTGAAAACATTGGGAAGAACCCAAATCAAGTGTAGATTCAAAGATAGAGAAGAGCTGCTAACCTTTCATGTCATAGAACAACAGCTCAAGCCTATAGTAGGACTACGTGACAGTGTACTCCTTAAGCTACTATCCTTCGGCGAGGATGTATACAGTGTGTGTGAACTAACAATGAAAACACACAAAACTATGAACCACTGACTAAGGCACAGATTATGAAGGGATACCCTACTCTCTTCGACGGAAGACTTCGGGAACTTACCTGTAGAATACAGTGCTGAGCTGGACCCGACATAGTACCTGTGATCAGGGCACCTAGGCGCATTCCTGTGGCAATGCAGGACAAAGTCAAGCAGGAGTTAGACTCAATGGTGGAACAAGGAGTGATCACACCAGTGACTGAACCGACGGACTGGGTCGTCGCCTATGGTGATAGCAAGAAGAAAAACACAGACAAAATACGGATTTGTATTGATCCAATTGACCTCAACAAGGCTTTGAAGCGACAGCACTACCCCATGAGGACAGTAGAAGAAATCATAGCAAGAATGCCCAAAGGCGAAATTCTTCACCAAGCTAGATGCATCGCGGGGATTCTGGCAGATTCCATTATCACATGCAACATCGATGTTGACGACGTTCAATACCCCATATGGACGTTATAGATACCTAAGAATGCCGTTTGGCATCACTTCAGCCAGTGAAGTGTTTCAGAAACACATGGACAGTCTATTCAGTGGTCTACCATGTGAAGGTATAATGGATGACCTACTTGTTTGGGGAGAAACAGAAGAACAGCATGACAATAACGTCATCAGAGTACTCAACAAAGCGGATGAAATAGGCCTGAAACTGAACCCGGACAAGTTCCACTTCAAAGAAAAGGAAGTGAGCTATGTTGGTCACATACTGACAGCTGAAGGTGTCAGACCTGACCCCGAAGGTCGAGCAATTGTCAATATGCCAGAACCTGAGGGATTGCCATCACTGCGTAGATTCCTAGGAATGGTTACTTACCTGGCAAAGTTCATTCCCCATCTCAGTGAGTTGGCAGCACCACTGAGAGAGCTCTTAAAGAAAGAGACTACATGGGAGTGGTCCTCCAAATGTAGGACAGCAACTGAAGCAATAAAGAAAGAAATCAGCAACTCAGCGAATTCTGAAATTCTATGATGTTACAAAGCCTGTCACTCTAACATGTGACGCCTCCAAGAGTGGATTGGGTGCAGCAGTAATCCAGGAAGGACATCCAATAGCCTATAGGTCCAAATCCATGACGAAATCACAAACAAACTATGCTCAAATCGAGAAGGAGTTGTTAGCAATCCTCTTCGCCTGTGAGAAGTTTCATGATTACATTTATGGCAAAAGAGTTACAGTTGAAACAGACCATCAACCACTCATTACCATATGCAAGAAACCACTGTTTGCAGCACCAGCAAGGCTACAACGCATGCTACTAAAACTACAGCAGTATTCCATTGATCTGGTATACAAGAGAGGGAAGGACTTAATAATTGCCGACACACTCTCCACGAAAGCATACTTAGAAGATACCTCTAACAATGAAGAAGAGTTTGAGGTATTGACAGTTCTGCCCATGACAGAACAGCGAACAGAGCAGCTGCAACGGAAACAGCCGAAGATCAACTAATGCAACTGCTGAGCCGTTACATATACTACACGGATGGCCAGAATACAGAAAAGATGTACACCCAGATGCCAAACCATATCACTCATTCAGGACGAGCTCGCTGAATACTCAGGAATTATATACAAAGGCGAGAAGATTGTGGTACCTCCAAGTCTGAGGACTGAATACATGGAACAAGTACACAAAGGCCACATCTCAGCCCAAGCATCCAAGAAGAGGGCTAGAGAGTTCCTATATTGGCCAGAAATCAACAATGATATAGACAGACTTACCACACTGTGCCAGATTTGCAACAGCTGCAAAACACACCAGCAGAAAAGAGAGCCGCTAAAACAACACAGTGTTCCAGAGAGACCCTGCAAGCTGTAGCAACAGACCTTTTTACATGGAAAGGAAAGAATCATCTTGTGTTAGTTGGCTTACTCCGGATGGTACGAGATCAACATACTAGACACCACAGTTTCAACCGCGATAATCAGGAAACTGAAAAGCCATTTCGCCAAGTTTCGAATACCAGATGTACTCTATTCCGACAATGGCCCACAATACACCTCAACAGAATTCTCTGAATTTGCATCAACCTGGGGATTCAAGCACAAAACCAGCAGTCCTAATTACCCACAAAGCAACGGACTTGCAGAACGCCAGCGGTGAGATCAGCCAAAAGCCTTCTTGAGAAGTGTGACATGGACAGAACAGACCCATATCTAGCAATACTGAATCAGCGCGCAACACACCAAGAGATCCAATTTTGGGATCCTCGGCTCAACGACTGATGGCGAGACGGACTAAAACACAGCTCCCCATGTCAAAAACACTACTTGAACCTTCTCTCAAGGATCCACAAGTAATCAGAAACAGGCTGCTGAACATCGGACAACATCAAAAAACAACAATACGACAAAACAGCAAAACCACTGGGACAACTCATTCCAGGTGACAAAGTTAGATTACAGTCAGAAAAGGGTTATGACAAACTAGGAGTTGTAAAGACATGCATGACACACCAAGGTCCTACATTGTTGAATCGGATGGCAGAACATACCGGCGCAA